GTAAGTATTCAAAGAACTTGATTTTCTGTCTCTACCTACTTCACCATTCTTTGTAAGCGCCTTTTGACCTCAAAGTGCCAACAAGCTGCTTCAACTTCAACCTCGTGTCTGAATTACAGGTAGAAAGAAGATAGAAACAATAATGGAGACAGAATGGCATTTATAAAAAGCACAGCCAACCCAAAAATCTCCACAGGACTTGTGCTTATGTCTCATTGTCCTATGGTTAACCTAGATGCAAGGAGCATTGTATTTCACAGGGCACATTGCCTTTATAAGCAAGATTGTAGCAAAGAAGTGGGAAAAGGGAACACATGACTGGCAGTGTGTGCCATGTGCAGCCTGGGAGAATTTGCTCCATTCCTCAATCACAAGATACTTCACACTCACACCCCTGGTGAATTCCTTTGGAAATCTCCCAATCAAACTCCCATATAATTTTTACCAGTGTACAAAATGTTATTGCCTACCGAATGAAACCTAGGCCATGTTCTGCAAATTAGAGAGGTGATAAAATAGACACAATCCATTCTAAAGAACATGCCTAAGTCTGCAAGGCTGTAATATTTGTACAAAATCTTATGGATAGTTTTTTAATATTAGGAACTGATTCTTCAGGTTTTTCTCTGTATTTTGTTAAGCACGGGTATGCATCACAACCATCTGGGAAACTTGTTAAAATACATGGTTTCTGATTCAGTAGGTGTGGGGTGGAACCTGAGCCTCTGCATTTCTAACAAGTTCCCAGCATTGTTGCTGCTCAGTGAACACTCTGAGTGTGGCTGCACTGGAGCTAATATGCTGTGTTTGAAAAGAGAACATCACTTCTCTAGCATTCCAGTCATTTCCAAATAATATCAGCTGTACCCAGGGTGCCAAAGACCCTTCTCTCCCTTAGGATTCTGAAGAAAAAGTAGACATACAAAAGTCTAATATTACCTAAGAAAGATTGTTACCAACCCAGGTTTGGCTGCCTGCTGCTTTGAAAGCCAATACTCAAGAGGTAAGTGTTGATGTAGGAAAGACAGTTTATTCAAGGGACATAAGCTTGAGAAGATGAAGGACTCTTGTCCAAAAGACAATCTTAATAATGGACATGGGAAGGGGTTTTTATAAAAGGGGAAGAAGATGAAAAAAAAAACACACACAGAAAAAGAAACAAAAAATCAGGTGATGACAATTTTTTGTTTCATGGACAGCATGCAAGCCAACACAATCGGTTCAAAAAACTGGTTGAAGATTAGCAAATATCTCAGAAGCAGAGTCTGCTTCTTTCGATGTTAGCTCCTAGAATTCTTAAGCCAAAAAACGGTTTAGCTGCAGTTACATATCAGTTAACAGGTCATCATTTACAGAAACAATGTGAAAAGAATGGTAGGGTGCATTACAATTCCTTACTGTCAATTTTTTATTCCATTTTCATGGAAATTTCCCTGACTAATCTGCAGCAAAGCTTTGGTGCATTAATTTAGCATGAAATGCCTGAACTTGTTGTGAGGTATAACTTTTAGTTTTATTAAGAGGAGAAGCCTCAATGTCCCTTTAGTCCTGGTGCATTTAGTCCTCTCTTTGAAATTTTAAATAATAAAATTGTACATTACAGAAACTAAGTTGGTAGATTGTTCCAATTCATTAGTTGAATCATTTAGAAGTGAGAATAGATCATTTCAGTTAAATTGTTGAGTCTCATTTCAGGAGTTGATGACACAGATGGATTTCCAAAGAGAGGCCTATGCTGTGTAAGCAAGCAGGCATTGTAAGGTATTCAATGAGGGTATTCAATGTCTATGAAAACAGAAGAAAAAAAATTAATGGTCAGAGCAAATTATAAACCAGTTTTTGAATCTGTATGGCTGTCAGTCAAGATTTCTAGATATAGGGCTCAGCATTTCTTGGACTGAAAGCAAGCAGTGACAGTCTGAGAGATCCTCTTTATCTGCAGTTTGCATGTACTCAGTGATGACATCAGGTGCTCGGGTAAATTCTGCATGGCTCACACAGCATCAGTCACTGAGATTGTATAAAACTGCTCTGGTGATTTCTTAAATTTATGTCATGTCCTTTAGCTGCAATTTGCAAAAGCAAAGCTCAGAAAAATAGGTTTACTATTTAATAATTTCCAGTCAAAGGATGGGAGGAAAATGAAACATTAGTTCAGAGGTGTGTAGCAAAAATGTTTAAGAAAACTAGAAAAAAATCAAAATCCAGGTTAGCTTATAGTTGAAAAATAAAACTTTAAAGACATTTAACTGAATTGGGGTCTAATATGCAAATGTCTGTTATAGATTCTATTGAAACACAATTTTCCCCTAAAAATCACCAACATTTATATCAAAGATATCCAAATTAAGACTATGTACTGCATTAAGTCCATTTTCAATTTGGCCTGTTTATTTGCATAAAGACAATGAGCATAGCAATTGAATATATTGGCTCTCTTAAGTCTTCTTTGCTGGAATCTTATACGAAATTTGAAGAATGAACTTGAATTATCTTCTCAGGGCAAAGAGGCCAAGCCACATAGTTATTATAAGGCTTTGCCTGCAATACTCATAAGTTTGGGTAAATTCCTCAAGTTCTTGAGGTCCCAAAATATGTCTTGAAGTTATTCCTTGTCATCTCCCAGGAAAGCAAGTTGCCCTTCTTTGTTAAAAGTCTCCTCATCAGCTACACTGCAGTTGCTAACTCAAAGTGAATATGCCCCAATTTAGTGTTATTTCCAATTTGGTTCTGAAAGGTACACTCACTCTGATGCCATCTTGAAACCTCACTCTTCATAGATCAAATGCACCTTGTTCTCTCATGCCACTGTGTGAACTGCTTCTCCAGCTGAGATGTTTTTGCTCCTTTTAAAAATTGACAAGTTACTCAAATCTACAAACACTTTAAATTTACCACATATTTAGAATATTGGATAAATTAGAGACAAATATCAAATGTGGACATAATAATGTTCAGGTTATTCCACCAGGTTTAACAAAAAGACATAGCTGTACTTGTTTCTGGTATCCATTTGTTTTTTATGGCTATTTAAAAGGCTCAATCCACCTAACTTCAGGAAAAAGGGCTATCTTTTTTTTTAATTTTCTTCAACTGGCTTTTTCTAGCTGTTTTCTGGCAGCTGCTTGTTATTTTAGATGTTTGATTGCTTTCCGTTTCTTTTTTAGTCTTGATTTCTTTTTCTCTTTTTCACAGTCTCATGATATTGGCTGAGAAGAGATGTTTTGTGGTTTGCTTCTTGTTTTGCAGCTTTTGGTCTCATCTTCCTTCCCTAGATCAGGGCCCAGCCAGAATCAGAGACAGCCTTCTGAATCTACTGCTGGGAATGACACAACTGGGGTAAGCCACTATGACGGGTAGAAGGCTTTGGTCTTATCTTTTAATGGATAGAGTTGATGCATTAACAGTTGAGTGGACCTAATGCCCGACAATGGAAGCCTTCCAGAATCAGGTCCCCCTTACTAAGGGAGATAAGTGGGTAGGGAGTTGGGAGAGGCTTTGTCAATGTCCCACCAAGGGGTAGCTCCTAACCCCAAGCCCTTGGTGGGCAGTGACATTATTCCTTCTGGACTTCCTGGGATGTCCAGATCAGAGAGAAGGTGGCCCCTGGGGACAGAGCAGCCTCTCAAGCCTGCTTCTCCTTCCTCCAGATCTCAGAAGGCTCAGCACCACCTCTGACTATCAAAGATCAAGCCTGGTATAAAAGTGTGAACTCAAATTCAAAGAATGGCCAGTCCCGGCCTCCCAATTACAAGTCTTCTCTCATGGATGAACACCAAGGACATTACACTAAGCAAAACAGCCAGTCCGAAATGGACAGATTCTCCCAGTATGAAGTATCTAAAGTCATCAAAATTATAGAAATAAAAGTAAGAAGGTGGTTACTGGGGGACAGGAATTGTATCTAATGGATGTGGAGTCCCAGTGTTACAAGAACAAGTTTTCAATTGTTTTTGTTGTTGTTTTTAATCCTCGCTGGAGGATAATTTTTTCCATTGATTTTTTTAGAGAGAATGCAAGGGAGGAAACACAAACAGAGAGAGAGATAGAGATGAGAGAGAGAGAGAGAGAGAGAGAGAGAGAGAGAGAGAGAGAGAAACATTGATGTTAGAGAGACACATTGATTGGTTTCCTCCCACAAGCACCCTGACTAGAGCCAAGGGCCAAACCAGCAACCCAGGTATGTGCCTTTGATAGGAAATCGAACCTGCTCTTTGGCCTGGGGCAAATGCTCTAACCACTGATAAAAACAAGTAGGGCGAGTTCTCAGGTCTTTCACAACCACTGAGCATACTTCACAAGGCTGAACATTACACATAAAAATCGCTAAGATGGTCCATTTAATGTGTTGGAAGTTTTGTTTTGTTTTTTGTTGTTTGTTTTTTTGTTTTTTACCATAATAATAAAAACAAACAAACTTGAAAAAGTCTTGCTCCCTGTTCAATTCCTTTCTGTCATATGACCTATTACCTCTTGTCAAAGGGGTTTTGAGCCATTTGAAAACATAAATGTTCTAGCATTTGAAGTGCTCTACTAGCCCTGGGAAAGAATTCTTTACCTGAGAAGCAGCATTAGTCTGAAGGCCAGGGTTACTCAGGCTGGGGATTCTAGGGACATCTTCCTGGAAAAGGAGTCGGAGAGTTTGTTACAGGACACTGAAAAGGCTGCTTCAGGGTGGATAGAAGTCGGGAGCTGGTGGTGGAACAATGTCTTCTTCAAAGCTTCTAAAGATGACATGATTTCTGCCCCAGGAGCAGGAAGCCACCCACACAGCCTGCTGGGCCCTGAGCACCATGACCCTTCTCTGGGGATCCTCTACAGCTCTGCCTGGGGCAGGAGCTCCAGACTCTCTCCTTTGCCCACTAGCCTTCCATTCTGCAGCTGCACACTGGAAGGCGTGTGCCTGCCACTCCCTGACCCCGCCTGCCTCTGACGTGCACCCTGTGACCGGGCACTAATTCTAAACTTCCCCTGTGTCTGCATTTGTGCTTTTGAGGCTGTGAAACCCATGTCTAGAAACATCTGCCTCCTGGGAAACACTGTCTGAAAGACTCAGATCCTGCAGAGCTGATCCCGCCCTGCTTTCCTTCCTCAGGTCCCTCCTCCCACATCCCCCTTCGGATTCTGTTTGCCTGAGAGGGACTAGCAGCTGCTTTCACCCACGGAGCAATGGAGCAGGCCCAAGGTGGAGGTTCTGGGACTGTGACAGTCCAGGAGACAGGACCAAGGTATGTGTGTGCACATATGTGCCTACACCTACCAGATGGCAACCCAGAGAGGGGACAGGAGCCACCTGGAGGGCGTGATCTCAGGGCCTCTGGGATGGTTCCTCCTTATTCGGCAGTGATATGCCCAGCCCCAAGGTTGGGCGAAGGGGCAGAGGCTCCCAGGTTCCCAGAGGAGGCCTGTCTAGATGGGATGCTCCCCACAAGGCTGGGATGAAGGCCTGATGGGAGGGGGAGGAAAAAGAAAATGAATGGGGGTCCACTCTTGAGTATCTCCTGACTTTGGGATTGTGTCTCCAGCAGCCACCACTGTGAGGCTGGCAGTTTGGACCCTGATTTCCCACATTCACTTTTCTAATATTTTCAAACCTTTGCATACTTCGGATTCTAGTGCCTGAACACTGAGGCTGGTTAATGTTTGCAGAAATAAAATTTCTGATGTCACCTACATTTAACCCATCTGGGTTCTCACCCATTAATGCTCTCACTTCTTCCCCATGACTGACCTGTGGGCTGGACTGAGTCCCCCCAGAGGAGCTTTGGAAGCTTTCTGACCCCTTTTTAGTGGCTGTGAACCACCTGGTGTGGGAGGACTCCCTGGAAGTTTTGTGTGGATGCCTGAAGCCGGGTCCCCCTTGGGCTGTGTTGTGAGACTGGAGTTCTGAAAGAAAGCTTTCTGTCTTTTTCTCTCCATTGCTCTGGTAGGGTCTCCAGAGGGCCTGGGAGATGATCAGAGGGAACTGTAGGTTTTAAAGGATAGAGTGAAGAGGGAGTTTTGGTTTCCTTTTTCTTTAAAAGTATTTTCTGTATGCCTGGGTGGAAATGGTATAGGTAGGGCAATTGTATGTGTGGAGAAAGACTAAAGAAAGAGAGAGAACAATCCTGATTCAGTCTGGTGTCCTGGCCTGGAAAGAGTTCAGCAACATCATTTATGTCCACATGCTGGGAACCATGTAAAACAGTGGTGCTCATGTGGACAAGAAATTCCTTTCTCTTCCAGACCTGCATGAAGTCTCTGCTTATTTACCCACTAGAGTCGGTTTTATAATTAATGTAGGAAAATGGTACCATTTCACTGGCTTAGGATACAACATACAGTTACTTCTCTTTTATTGGTCAGCTGCCCTCTACACTTGTAAAAACTCACTATCTTCCTTTCCTCACCCTCACTCATGCTCACTCATTTAACACCATTTATTGTGCATGTATAGGGTGGGGCAAAAGTAGGTTTACAGTTATGAGTATGAGAAACAGTTTATTTTTGTATGATTATTGGTGAATTATTGTATTATTTTCCATATGGACAACTGTAAATCAATTTTTGACCACCCTGTACTATATGGCAGGCCCCATACCAGGCCTAGGGGCACACAGAATAAGACAGGCTAGGTCTCTGCTCTTACGGAGTTTCATACTAAGGACAATAGAGAGAAAATTAAAAAGCAGACAGTAAATAATATCAGATGGAAACAGTGTTAGAATGAAAATAATGGGGACTATTAATAAGGAGTTAGGGTAAGAGTTTCTTTATATGGCTGTGTGTTAGAGCAAGAACATGCTCTTAGAAGAGTCCAATAGCGATAGACTTAGGCTATAAAGACTCTTCTCCTCAGAGTAACAGCTGTGGGGTGTGGTTTTCAGGCTGAGGAGGCTTTCCCTCTTGAGTCTTGTAAGAGGGGTCCAGAGGATTCTAGAGAAGAGCCCAGGCATTTGTCCATGACCCTGATGGGTGGCTCCTCGCCTCTGCAGTCTTTGTCCTTCCTGGTGGGGCTTCTTGAAGGAGGGTCGATCAAGGTCTTTCCCATCACCTCTGATTCCTCCCTTCCACTGGGGCTCTCCCTTCTGTAGGCCACTTACTCTTCTCTCTCTCTTGCTCTCACTCTCAGGTTTGTTTTGATTTCATTAAAAGAAAATTCACCCAAACAGATACTTTGGTGTCCTTTTATTTGAGGTCACAAAGCTTTTATATTCCAATTTTTATATTTTACTAAAATTTTGGAGGAATGATAGGCTAAGTATACTAACGGTTTCTGACAATGGAATGGAATTTTTAAATTGATTTGAGAGAGAGACAGAAGGGGGGAGAGAGAGAAAGGGAGAGAGAGAGAGAGAGAGAGAGAGAGAGAGATCCATTTTTTTTAATTTCCACTTATTGTTGCATTCATTGGTTGCTTTTTCTATGTCCCCTTACTGGGGATCAAATCCACAACCTTGGCACATCAGGGCAATGCTCTAACCAACTGAGCTATTGGGCCAGGGCTGGCATAGATTATTTTTTTACACATCCCTGTTCTATTAGACAAAAGTATTTTCATCAATAATGATGAAATTAAATGAATACATTCATTTCCCCATACCAAACAAAAATAATCAACTAGTTATTTGATCTTTTTATTTTTTGAAATTTTTATTTAGTCTTTCTTAATATACTATTCTTTTATTTCAATTAAAGTTTATGTTTAATATTATTTTGTATTGGTTTTAGGGGTACAATATAATGGTTAGACTATAGTATACTTTACAAGACACTGTGCTCTTAAATGGTATGAACTATTAAATAACAACACAAAAAAAGTGCCTTTCTCATTGTTCACTTTCTTCAGCAGCATTTCTTTGTTCTTTAAGCCAAAAAGCATCTACTGGATCATAAGCAAGGATATAACAAATGCCTTCTCTATATTGTAGATACAGGAGTGAACAAAACAGGACAAGTCTCCATTCTGGTGGAATTTACCCTTTAGTGGTGGGGAGATAAAAAGAAAGTCTTAAGCAAATAAAGACACAATGTGAAAGGTGGTAGCAGTGGGTGCTGGGTTGAAAAACAAAGCTGGGTGTTGGGGAATGCTGGGGAGGTGCAAGGAGCAGGGTGCTCTCAAATATAGGGTGACAGATGAAGGCCTCCTGTGCCACAGAGATGATATGGGAGAGACCTATTAAAAGTGAACCTGCCTTACACAAGCCGGGGAAAGACTGTCGTAGCTCAGATGAACAACCAGCACAAAATCCTAAGGTCACATGTTGGGGAACAGCAAGGAGACTGATGTGACAAAGCCAGGTGGAGAGGGTGGGTGATAAGGTCAGGGGGGCAGCCAAAGCCCCAGTTAGGTGGGGTCTTGGACCACTATAAAGCCTTGGCCTATTACTAGTTCCTTGGATAGGTGGGAAGCTCTTTAGTGACTTTGGACTGATGAGTGATATTATCTGTTTTTTGTTGTGAGGAGGTTGGAGGCAGGGAGACCAGTAATAATGTTATTTCCAAAGTCCAGAAAAGAGCCAATGATCAGTTCAATATGGAAAATACAGGAAAGCCTTCATGTGCAGGTGACTTTGAAGTGGAGTGGTGACAAACAGGAAGGAATCTTGCCAGTGGACAGGAGGAGAGGGGTGCAGGCAAGACCATACTAGACATCCTGGGCATCTGGAGCCAAGGTAGAAGACACAAGGTGGGGTCTCTGAATGTGAAAAACACCCACAGTTGGAGGGTATGCGCTCTTTACAAGCCCACATGAAACATTTACAAAAATTATTCAGCCAAAAAGTAAACCTCAACTAATGACAAATATTTTATAGAGATGTCTTCTGACCAGAAACTAATAGTGCTAGAAATAAGTAAAAAGATAACCGGGCTCCCAATACAGTTTTAAATTTAATAATCATCTCTCTTCATTTATGGACCAAAAAGAAACCACATATTTTAAACTGATTAAGAACAATGAAGAGAATTACAACACTCTGAAGATGTTAGTTCTTTTTGAACTAAGCTAAAAATTCAATCACTGGCATTTAAAATTTCAACAGGATTTTCTAAAGAAAATAAGAACTGATTTTAAAAGCCCTCTAGAAGATTGAAAGGCCAAGAATAGAGAGACACATTTGAACAATAGCAAGGTGTTGAGACCTGCCTGATCAGTTAACTAAGATCTATATTAAAGTTATGCTGACTAAGTCATACTGGTTTTAGTAATGAAGACATTGTGGTTCATGAATAGACCAAGACCAATGGGTACAACAGGGAGCATGGGGACAGACTCGGAGATACAGGCACCTGATAGCTGATGGGCTGACTATTCTGTAGACTGTGCTGGGAAACTTGGCTCTTTATGTAGATTCTGACTCAGGCATGCTAATTTTTAACTAAAGGTGCTTCTGAAACTTGCATGTTCATGGGAACCACCTAGAAGTTGTTAAATTACAGATTCTGATTCAGCAAGTCTGGGGAAGGGCCTGAAATACTGCATTTCTTTAAGAATCCAGTTGGTGGCAATACTACAAATCACACTTGGTGTAACAACAGCTTAAATTGTAAGAATATTAAGTGTTTATTTAACAAAGAGGTGATTGCAGGGAGATCTGGCTCAGTGATGTCATTAGGAATCCTTTTATCTTTCTATTCTGCCTTCATTTGGCTTGAATGGTGCATGTTGACTTGTTTTCTTATTTGTTACTTTATTATTCCATGAGACAGCTCCAGTTCCAGACATCACATTTAAATTTTATGCAAAAAGAAGGGTGAAAGGGTGACAACAGGACATCTCTGTTGTACTCTGCCCCTGTGATCAAGAAAATAATAGTATTTCCAGCCCTGGCCAGGTAGCTCAGTTGGTTAGAACATTTTTCCAAATCTCCAAGGTTGTGTGTTTGATCTCCCCTCAAGACACATACAGAAGCAACCAATCCTATATAATAGAAGCATAATATGCAAATAGACTGAATGGCAGAACAACCAATCAAAGTATAATATGCTAATAATATGCTAAGACTGCTCAATTGCTTGCTATGATGTGCACTGACTATCAGGGGGTAGACAGTCAACTGGTCAACCAGTCACTATGACATACACTGACCACCAGAGGGCAGACAGTCGACCAGTCAACAAGTTGCTATGATGTGCACTGACCACCAGAGGGAAGATGCTCTGACTGGTAGGTTAGTTTGCTGCTGGTGTCTGGCCAATCGGGACTGAGCGTGATGGTCTGGACATGCCCTGAAGCCCTTCTGCTGTCTCTCCGCAGGCCAGATTGTGCACCAGTGGGGTCCTTCAGCCTGGCTGCTCTCTCTACCTATCCATAACCCCTGAGGGGATGTTGGAGAGCCCTTTTCAGCTCTATCCCGCAAGCCACTCCCCTTGGGAGGGCGCCAGATGCAGGGCTCATGGTTGGCGAGCTCTGCTGTGGCAGCAGGAGCCTCTCTGGATGAGGACTGATTGGATGCGAGCCCGCAGCAAGCACAGTGGGGCTGGGATGAGCAGGAGAGGCAGGTAGGAGATTCAGACAGTATTCCTCTCCCACCTCTGCTGCAGGCAGGCGGTAAGGAGCAAGGGGTCCTGGACTGTGATAGCCCCAGACTGTGAGAGGGATATCTGACTGCTGGCTTAGGCCCAGTGGGGAGTCGTGCAGAGGTTAGCTGATCGATGGCTCTCTCTCTCTCTCTCTCTTTCTCTCTCCCTCTCTCCCTTTCTCAGCATGGTCAAACATTTGGAGCATGAGAATAGAAGCCCCTACCATGTGAACTTCAGAAATGAAGGCAATGGATCCCAGGTGAGAATTCATGTTAAGGTCTCCAAGGATCTCTGTGTTGTGTAGTTTGAGTGGATGAAGATGGGCACAGTCAAGTGAAAAGGTTCTTAGGCTTTGTTTAAGGAGATATTTATCCATAATCTGAAAAGATGAGGCACCAGATAGTAGGTTACTTTGAATATTATCCTTTGGACTTCATTGGTAAGTTACTGGATAAATTTATATCCTTGTCTGATTTTACCTGTGAAAGTTGTGATAGCCATGTTCTGCATGGCTTGGGTTCAGGACCTGAAGAAGGGTCACGGATAAATGATGAGACTAGCCAAGAAATATGACTTTGAAAATTGGGGGCCAGGAGGGGAGTACTTCTCAAGAGGAAAGGCTTCACTGATGCCCAAGCCCTGCCAGCCTTTTATTCAATTTTAGATACACATATTGCCCTTAGTCAGGCAGGCAATTACAGTAGAAGACAGACTATTTTAAAGGTCAGTAAATATTAGTAAAGATTTACTTTGAGACTATTAGGTCAGGAAATTGCTTGAGCCACCATTGTCTTGACTAAACAGTAGGTGCTTAGCTTTGGCCCTTGCAAGAGCTCAATGTTCATCAGCATTCTGGGTTCCTTGTTTACACTTTCCTGATAGCATAGACAATGGGTAGCTTCCAGCATTACCCCTCATAGTTTTGGACATAAATATCTCATTAGACTTCCTTGGCTTCAATAAAACTATCCTCTTCTTGCATCCCCACCCACAACACTTTTCTGGCCACTCTGGTGATTGCTGAACCTGTTGTGAAGAGCTCTAAAAGTTGGCATCTGCAGGGCATGGTTCTAGACTCTTCTCAACTCTTTACACTCTCCCTTAGGTGTTTCCATACTTTGCAGCCTTGAGCTCTGTCTATTGCTAACAGTTTCCAAATTAGTAGCTCTATTTCAGGTCTCTCCTCTGAGTTCCAATTGCTACTTGATATCTTCACTGGGCTATTTTATAGGATCCCAGACTTAACATGTCCAAACTTCTGGCTTTCTCTCTTAAATAAGAAAGACTTCTGTTTTCCTCTCAACTTGGTAAATGATTGTGCTTCTCATCATGCTTTTCAAACTCAAACCCAGAAGTCCACTTTGATACCACAGCTAGCATCTGCTGTCCAAGAAATCCTCAAGTCTGTATGATCATGCACCTGGGACTACCTGCTTCTCCCCACCTCCACAACCACCATCTGGTCCAATCCAGTGTTCTCTCCTGCCTGAACTATTTTACAACTAATCTACTAACAACTGTCCCCTCAATCATTCTTGGGCCTTACACATCTATCCATTTCACACACAACAGCCAGAGTGACATTTTCTTTAATTTTTTAACTTGAATGAAGAATGTATTCAAAGCTAAGGAATGCAAGCTTTTGCCTTTGAGGAGCTTATACTTTAACTTATGCATAATAAGAAACAAAGCAATTATTGAGTCAGTGTAACTAAATGAATGTTGGTATAGAGAATTCTGTAAATATAAGTGCCAGAGAATGTTAAGACAAGCAAAAATTCAGCACAGGGGCCTTTGTGTCAGTGAATCTTCTTAGATCTGGTATGTGTTAAATTCAAATCTGATGGCCATGAGAGGGAAAACCTACTAAATTTAAGGCACATACATGAACTGATTTAGCCTTCATAACAACTTTATGCATAGATGTTCTACAGATGAAGACACTGAGGCTCGAGAGTTTTGAATTCACTTCCTTTCTTATCTCTAGGCCTGAACTCTCCCTCTCTCTCTCTCTCTCTCTCTCTCTCTCTCTCTCTCTCTCTCTTCTGATGGCAACAAGGAACAGTACTGTCAGCAGAGAAAAGAAAGGGTACAGAATGAGTTTATGCAATGTAACCTGGACATTGCACTTCTCCACAGGTCATGTTCAGAATTGATGACCTGATTGGTCCCTAACCCTCTACCTTGCTTTCTACGTACTAGTCTCACCAGCCTTCCCTTTAGTCCATGATTTATACTCACATCCACGCCAGAGCTTCAAACTTTTAGAGTTATATCTTTTGACACTTCCCATCCCTTATATCAGGTCTGTTTTTATTTATCCATCTCCTTAGCTTCAGGTCATGTTCAGAATTGATGACCTGATTGGTCCCTAACCCTCTACCTTGCTTTCTACGTACTAGTCTCACCAGCCTTCCCTTTAGTCCATGATTTATACTCACATCCACGCCAGAGCTTCAAACTTTTAGAGTTATATCTTTTGACACTTCCCATCCCTTATATCAGGTCTGTTTTTATTTATCCATCTCCTTAGCTTAAACTCACTTCTTCAAGGAATCCTCCTGATTGTCCCTTGGAATGAGCTTCCTCAGCCCCTCAGCCCTATTGGTGCTCATCACATGGTCACCATCACATCAAGTGATTCCTCCAGATGTATTTGCAATGGTTGCCTACCCACAAACTCCATGAGGACAGAATTTAGTTTCATCTTCTGTAAGATGGAGATAATAATATGTATCTCAGAGATTGTTGTAAGGATTAAGTTACTTGCTTATAAAGTAATCTGCAAATACTTGAAACTGGGTTAATGTTCAATAATTATTAGCTGCTATTATTATGATTGTTATTATAATTATAGAAGTATATGAGTTCCAAATAAGTTAAGGAGACATTAAAGATTTAATATAACCCAAAGATGGAGTGAAAGTTCTTATTCTAATATACAGACAGAGAAATATAAGTATATCTAAAGGTGCAAGGACAAGGACATTCATCACTGCATATTTTGAAATAGTAAAACTAGAAATAGCCAGTATCAATAAAGGAATGGTTGTATTAGCATAAATGGTCGCAAGTGGAATGAATTAAATCTACTTGTGTAGACTTACAGACATGTTGTTAAGTTGATTGCAGAATAGAAAGCCTAATAAATCTTTCTATGTGTTTGTATATGCTTCTATGTATTTGTATAAACATAGAAAAACATAGAAGAATATATGAGTTAACAACTTATTTTCTGGTGGATTAAAGATGTTAAAATTATTAAATTTTAGATCATATACATTTGCATGGTAACAATCCTTTGGATTTAAAAAAAACATGAAAGAATTTTGGTGGGATTTAGGAGGTGAAGAAAGTCTAACAACCAGAATGAAATGAGAGAGCCCTAAGTAGAGAGATGATTGATAGTATCAATGGTTTGGGGTAAGGCCAGGTAAGAAAGCAGGGAATGTGGCTGGCATGGAGACTTAACAAAGACAAGGTTAAAATAAAGTATAGAAAGCTTCTAAGAATAGCAGATTAATCAAGATTGCATATCATGTTTTCACATTTTTATTCCCTTTTAAATTTAAATTTGGGGAATCAACATAAGGCTTACCAGGCAGGTGAAGGGAATGTCAGGTAAGTGGCTATCCATCCTTTGTCGTCATCTTCATTTGCCCACATGGATGAGAAAGGTCCCAAATGTTACTGGATTTCTGTTAGAAGAAGATTCATCTCTACATTGAGGGTGCCAGTGATGGAAGAGGGCATTGGAGAGATGTGGGGATCCTGTTTTCCAATCTCCTCACTTCCCCTTGTCTTTCAACTGCATATCACAGGCATCACTGAGTGCATTTATTCTTCCAGGGAGTGCAGAAGGTTTCCTGAAATCTCTGGATTTTCTTCAGGAATAGCAGAAACTCTGGAAGGCTTTAGAAGGAATTAGTGTTAGGAACTGTAGAGAAGTGAAATTACAGCTTCAGGAACAATGCCTTGTAGATGGCATCTGTGGGGCTCCTCTGAGTGAGAGCAAGATCCATCATGCACCTGGGAAACCCGTTAAAGCGGCAGAAGCAGTAGGGTCTCAATATTGTCATTGTGGACAAGTCTACAATGGCCAGCAAGGCCCATGACCATGGTCTTTATTTGACCACAGCCTATTCATCAAATTACTCCAAACTACACATTATGCTCCATTTCTTTACTTTGTGGAAAGATGACATTTCAGATCTGTATATATCATTTTCCATCTTTATTTTCCAGGACTGTGTGAAAGAAGCTACATCTCAGGAAAAGGGCAATCCAAATGGTAAAGAGATCCTTAAACTATGTTAAACTCATATCTGAATTCCTTTGAATGTGTTATGCATCAAAGTGAAGTGGGGGAAATATCTAGATAAATCAGAGCAAAAATGTATCCTGAAGACCTTGCTCAGGTCAATGACTGCAACCTGTCTCTAGGGAACTCTTAACACTTTTGAGTAGGTGTAGCACCAGCAAAGGTCTTGGACCCTTTGTGGCTGTACCTGTCCTTCTCTAAAATGTTAAAAAACTGGGTTCCCTTGCTGTGCCTACTTGGCCTCTTCCTCCTGGTCCTGGAAGCAAACACTTCCTTCACTGATAGCACTACTATGCAGAATTCAGTGATGAAGCTCAGTATCCATATATTGATTGTCATTAGTAATGTATCCTAAACTCTGCACATGTCAGTAACTTTCCAAAGGCAACATAAAAGGGTGTGGAGTTCCTGCATTTCAGCTGCTTTCTTTACATGTCATGATCACTCCACTCCCAAGCTTGCCAGGCATAAGCTTAGTGACATTCCACAGGGATGGCACCCTGGATGATGGAGACTCAGTGAATATCCCTGGAATTGCTGACTCTGCCATTTGCTCAGCACATAGATCTGGTGTTAACCTTAGATCACAGGAGAAGTGGGAACAGGGCATGTATGCAGAGACAGTTTTGTGGTGCAGGTTTTTACAGAAATTTATTGCGATTTAATTTAAATACAGTAAAATTCAGAAATCTTAAGTATACAACTCAATAACTTTTACACATATACACATATGTGACCATCATCTAGATAAAGATATGGCTCATTTCCATCCCCTTACAGGAGATCACCAAAGGGAACCACTCTCCAGACTTTTACTGGCACTGGTTAATCTTGTCTGTTTTTTATCTTCATATAATGCACTCATATTGCATGTGGTTTGGTATCTGGCTTATTTCGCTTAGCATGTTTTGGAGATACAGCCATGTTGCATATCAGTAGTTCAATCTTGTCTTTCATTAAATGCTGAGTTGTATGCTATTTCATGAATATACCACTCAGTGTCATTTTGAACTCAGATTTTCCTTGGCCTTGCTTTATCCCACAGTCTTTAGCTGCAGTACTTACCTTTGGTAGCAAAATGAGAGGAACACTAAGGACCAAGCTCGGTGAAGCCAAGTTTAACATCTTAATCTCCCAGGAACATGAAATGTGATATACATCATATTATTCCTATAATTCCATCTCTAGGGAAATATATTCTTCATCATTGACACCACAAAGAACAGTGTTAATGGGTACTCATTATTAAAGCCATGAGGTGCCTTTTGACATCAATGAACGACACAGTTAAGTTGAATGTAGTTATAATGAGAAATGGCTTCTAGCGTGCTCCATCTAGTAACCCACAGATGGTATGTGTAGTTGCTTTTTCACAAAAAGTAATTTTATGGAATCATTTTTCAAATACATCCAGGAGACTTTGCTACAGTTAGTATTAGTCTGAAGTGGGAATAAATAGTCACCGCAGGAACAGAAGATAGAGATAAGATGAGTAGACTGGATCCAGGTGAGGAGGTGAAGAGTAACAAAACACTCACAAGGTGCCATAATATCAAAGAAGGCACCATAAAAAGGGGAAAATTTAGAGATGGGAATGACAGCATGTCAATGGGTGAACACAGGGCAGGGACTGTGATCCAACTCCTGCTTCTGAGTTCACTGGTTGTCTGGAGGAAGCCATTCCCATGCTTGGGGCTGGAGCTGCTCTGGGAAGGCAGCCCTGATGCTCCCTGAGTGTCCTTGGCTGAAATATGTGGCTTTGAAAGGCACGCTCAGATCAACCCAGGGTCTCAACTCCTTCCTGCTTTCTTCTGACAGAGACCCTGAGCATTATCCTTGTGGGAAAGAGAGGGGTTGGTAAGAGTGCCACTGGGAATACCATCCTCGGGCGGCCAGATTTTTCCTCTCAACTCGGAGCCAAGCCAGTCACCACCACGTGCCAGAAAAGAGAGAGCACAAGGGCTGAGCAGAACATTGTGGTTTGGGACACTCCTGACTTCTGTCTGCTGTCCAGTGACAAATCTCCGGTCCAACAGTATATGTCCTTAAATAAAAGCAACACAGTTCTGGTCCTGGTGCTCCAGCTGGGACGGGTCACTGACCAAGACAAAAAGGTGATGACGACGCTAAAGACCATCTTCGGAAAAGATGTTAGGAAATACATGATTGTGGTTTTTACCCGGAAGGAAGACCTGGAGGGTGGAGATATTAAAGATTACTGCAAAAACACAGAAAACAAGTTTCTTAGGAAGACAATTAAAAAGTGTGGGAAGCGAGTTTGTGCTTTTAATAACAAAGAAACTGGCCAAGCCAGGGAAGACCAGGTAATAGATCTTTTGAAAATGGCCAAGGAGCTGATAGGTAACCATAAAGGGAACAAAATAATTAAAGATGTCCAGGAAAAGCAAAATCCCAAAAAAATTTCTAAAGAAAGTAAAAAGATAGGTTTTCATAGGTGTATGAAATGCCTGGGGCCTCTTTAAGTTAGAGACATGCTCAGGTTGTGGGGTATGGGAGGATTGATGCGTGGGAACTGGGTTCATAACTTTGGGGGCTTGAGAAGTCAATGTGTCTTACTGTGTGATGCTTTACCTCTTTGTATGTAAACAAATTGTCAGGTTCAGGCAGGTAGTAGGGGATTATACAGGAGCAAGGAGAAATAAGGTAGGGAAAAAGAGTCAGAATCAAGTCACAAAAACCACCTTACCTGTGTAGGTAGATTGTAGTCAGGACAGACACCAGGAACAAGGACACAGCCATAATACATATAGTTACAAAGAATCAAGGTGCCCACATGTGTGCATGTCCTGGGCATGGGACTCCTATGGGCTTCCCCCCTGCCTGCCTGGCCCCCTGGCCCCTGAGCTATCCTTTCCTAACATGGTGGCTGTTCTTTTGTGTCCTCTCCATTTCAAGTCTAAATGCAAAGGACCCTGTCATCCCCTCTCTCATTACTCTGAGAAAATGAACACACCTCTAAGAGGATTCAAAGGACTGTATTGTTAAATCATCATAGTGCAATATACTAGAACAACAATTGGAGTCCCAGTAAAATTGTCAAAATTAGACAACCTTGCAAATTTTTAAATTATAAGAATAATGTAGATTTCATCTGAAGAGTTTATTGAAAACTCCTTTGCACCTATATCTCTTTTTTTATCATGAGGGTTAGGAATGAGGATAAAACTCAGAGAACTCACATAATAGTGGTCAAACACATTAGGGGCTTATGGTGTCTCATGTCGGGTGCAGGTCTTATGAGTTGGGTGCACTGCCCATGGGCCAGATTCATTATGCTGCCTCTACACTTCAGGTTGCTTCTCAGTTCCTAGATGGTGATGATGTTCCACTCATGGTTGAACAGATGCATTTGAGAGCTCCCTGATGGGGCACTGTATGAGATGAGAGCTATAGAATCTTCTCCCAATAGATGTAGGACCAGATGTTTTCAATATTAACCACTTTATAGATGCTTTGGGACAGGATCATCTGCCTTTGTTTTTGAAAGTGTCAGCTTACCTTCAATATTAGGCCATTTATAAGAGCATTAATACTTTTGTACCCTAACAACCCTTGCTATGACAAATTCTGAAAAAATAATGTGAAAATACACTCACTTGAGTCAAAGAATAAAGATTAATTGTATTATGAACTTTCAGCCTCCTGATTGCTTTTATTTTGTCTTGTGGAAGAGCATGGCTCCTCCCAGAGGCAGAAGATACCTGGACTCACCAAGGCTTTTGCACTTTTAGTGCCTGGGACCTTTAGGTTATGGGTGATGGTCACTTTACTAGGTGTCAGCCAACTCAATAACGTACTACTCTGGAAATTTCACTATAACAAGGGTAAATAAGTGTTACCTGAAACATGTCAGGGAGAAGGTCTAGAAGTCATTTGCACCTCTTTCCAGAACATTCCTCTGTTTGAAGGCAAGACAAATCCCAAGGTGCCAGCTATGCTGAGCAGTTGACATGGGAGCTGATGAAGTCCGGAGCTTGTGGGTTTTTGTTTCATGTAGGGCCTTCCATATATCCCCACATTCCTTTAGGGCCATTCTTGAGGAGGAGACCATATTACATTAGTTCCTTCTAGAAGCACTTGCTGAGAAAGAGTGAGTGCAAGAGGTTTATTGGAGGTGGCTCTGGAATAATGTCTATTAAAGACAAAAGGGAGGAAGCAGAGCTGGGCAAAGGAAGCCTTAGGTCTTGCTGCAGATCTGACATTTGAAAAGGAAAGAAAAGAAGGATCTGGGTTGGATAAAGATACCTTCAGATCTGACAAACCCTATGAGAAATCAGTAGAGAGTCCTGGGGCAAAGACTGACCTGCTTGGGCAGACACTAGGAGCTCTGCTGAGCTGAGCCTGGGAAGGGCATGGCTTTGGTTCAAAAGCTAAGGTGGGTCCTGACAGTATGTCACCTCGAGGCTGTGATCTACCTGCACAAGAAACCAAATCATTTATTCTTTTGCCTTTTTATAATGTACATTAGATTCCTAGAACTACACACACTATTAAAAGTGGCCCAAATACAAATGATATCTGAATATACATATAAGTAGTAAAGAGGTTATATTAAAAATTAAGATAATAAACTACCACCAAAGTAAAACCCAATACCAAATGGCTTCACTGGTGAATTTACTAAACATTTAAGGAATTAACACCTATGCTTTGCAAACACTTTCCAAAATGAGGAGAGGAGGAAGTACTTCATCATTCATTCTATGAGGTTAGTATCCTTCAAAGATATTACAGGAAAAGAAAACTTCACATCAATATCATTTATGAATATAGACAGAAAAATCCTCAGCTAACTACTAGCAAATTCAATGAGGCAATTTATAAATAGAAGTACATATGTGAGAAGTATGTAACATATATAAGTACTAGAGGCCCAGTGCACAAAATTTGTGCATGGAGGTGGGGTGAGGGTGTCTCTCAGCCCAGCCTTCACCCTATCCAATCTGGGACCCCTCGGGGGATGTCTGACTGCCCCGTGGGATAGGGCCTAAATGGGCAGTCGAACATCCTTCTCACAATCCAGGACTGCTGGCTTCCAACCACTCACCTGCCTGCCTGCCCGATTGCCCCTAACTGCTTCTGCCTGCCAGCCTGATCACCCCCTAACCATTCCCCTGCCAGCTTGATTGACATCAAACTGCTCCCCTGCTGACCCATTAGCCCCCAACTGCCCTCCCCCGCCAGCCGTCACCCCCAAGTGCCCTCCCCTGGTGGCCCCCAACTGCCCTCCCCTGCCAGCCATCGTATGGCAGCCATCTTTGACCACATGGGGGCGGCCAACTTGTGTGTTGGAATGATGGTCAATTTGCATATTACCTCTTTATTATATAGGACTAGAGGTCCGGTGTACAAAAATTTGTGCACTTGGGGGGTCCCTCAGCCTGGCCTATGACCTCTTGCAGTGTGGGACCCCTCAGAGTATGTCCACCCCAGTGGTGACCCTCATCCCATGGAGGTTTGGCCAGCCTGGGTAAAAGGCTGATGGCTGTTTTCAGGCTGGCCACACCCCCTTTAGGGTGGGGGATCCCCACTGGGGTGCCTGGCCAGCCTTGGTGAGAGGCTGAGGTCCGTTTTCAGGCTGGCCAAGCACCCTGGCGACATAAGATCCCAGCCTCTCCTGTTTTTCTCTTCTTCTTCTTTTTATCTTTATTCTGGGATTTATTTACCTTCTATAATTGAAACTTTGTTGCCTTTAGTGGAGGTCTGCAGAAAGCTTGGCTTCCTCCATTGCCAGGGGCAACCCACTCCTGCTCACTCCAGCTCCATGGCCATGGCTGGCTGAAAGCAGGCATCTGGGGTTTGTTTACCTTCTATAATTGAAACTTTGTTGTTTTCAGTGGAGATCAGAGCCAGCTCCTGCTCACTCTAGCTCTGTGGCCACAGCTAGCTGAAAGCAGGTATCTGGGGTTTATTTACCTTCTATAATTGAAACTTTGTTGCTTTCAGTGGAGCTCAGAACTGGGCCACAGCAGGTGGGGAACCTTGGCTTCCTCCATTACTGGAGCAAGCAAGCCTCCTGCTCGCTCCACCTTTGTGGCTGCTGGCCGTCATCTGGTTGGGTTAATTTGCATATAGTCACTCTGATTGGCTGGTGGGCGTGGCTTAAGTTGTAGCCAAAGTACGGTCAATTTGCATGTTTGTCTTTTATTAGTATAAGATAGATATTGCTATTTATATTTAAAGTAAATTATATTATAAATATAAATATCCAATATGTCTATGTCCCTCAATGTACAATTTGTCAGTCATAAGTCAATTGAGTGTCTCCCACTCCTTGATTTGGTGAAATTGGTACAAACTATAATTACACAGCATGGAAGACTTCAAAGTCCTCCCCTCTGTTTCTAAGAGTCCCCCTTCATTTTCCCTCAGCCTTTCCTGTTTCCTCATTCCTGTGACATTGTGCACTGTTTCTACTTCAGCCTATGACTCTGGAATCCCCAAATGCAAATTTTTTACTATTTTTTTAATATGGTATTTATGCACAATTGTTCATATTCAGCTATTTATTTATTTTTATTTTTAGAAATTTTACTGGAGATGCTGCATAATACAAGAATCAGCACAGAGAATCCCTCTCTCATTTTGTCATTCACTTCTCTCTGATCTTCCCTCTTTTCTTTCTCTCTAAAATTTAGGATGGTTTTATTTGTTTATATGAGACGCTGTCCCTTAATGGATAAAAATGACATGTCTCTTTTAGATCTTCCAGCTTTGGTTTAAAAAAACAACAAACCCAAACTCCTTACTCTCTCTCCTCTCCACTTTATATTGAAAGGCAGGGAAAGTCAATTAGCAAACATTTAAAAACTTCCCACATATTCAGAATATTTGATAAATTTGAGACAAACATCAAGTGTGAACCAAAGAAGATTCAGGTTATCAAGTTTAAAAAGAAGACATATGTGTGCTTATTTCTGGTAACCATTTGTTTTCTTTGACTAGTTAAAGAACTCCATTCAAATCGCCTAGCTGTAGGAAAAGAGCTGTCTCCTTTTGAATTTTCTCCAACTGGCTTTCCTAGCTGTTTGCTGGCTGCTGCTAGTTACTTCAGCTGTTTGACTGCTTTCTGTTTCTTTTTCAGCCTTAATTTTTTTTCCTCTCTCTCTATCTCACAGTCTCATGATGTTGGCTGAAAAAAAGCAGTTTTGTGGTATGCTTCCTGTTTTGCAGCGATTGGCCTTATCTTCCTTTGTTTTCTAGGTGACTGTGTTTGAGATTGGCTTATACTTTTGTCCTTGTGGTTTCACATTCTGGGTGGCTTTTGTACACTTGAGATCAGGGATTTATTTATTGCTTATAGTTGGAGTTCTAAAGGTCCTTCCCATATGGGCTCCTCACTGGGGACTTCACTAAAAACTGCTGGATAAGTGACTAAGTTCATTGGAAATACTATGTCTGAAAATTTCTTCAGGAAAACGTCACCATAACTCAGAACCTTGTACCTGTTATTAACACACTAGTGGCCTGGTGCACAAAATTCATGCACATTAAAAGGGAATTAATTAGAGGAAATACAGTGGGGCCTTGACTTACGAGTGTCCTGACTAACGATTTTTTCGAGATACGAGCTGTCTCTCAGCTTATTTTTTCCTTTGAGTTGCGAGCTAAAATTGGGGTTACGAGCCAGCTTCAGATACCCCACCACTAGTTGGCACAGCGAATGTCACAGTGAACGCCACAACATTAGCCCAGAATCACATGTCTCACTCGTTCACTTTTGATTTGACATATGAGTAATTTGAGTTATGAGTTCCGTCATGAAATGAATTAAACTTGTAAGTCAAGGCCCCACTGTATTTTAATATTGCTATTTGCCCATTTTCTATAATAGAAGTGTCAGAGATGAAATAAAATTAGTAAAATGTATATGAAAATCTCCCTCCTGTCAGAGTCTGGAGTGTGTCACAGGACCCAGAGTCAAGTCCCTGCCCACCCACGTGCAACTCAAAATCACACGAGACACAGACCTGGACGGCCCCAACCCTGTAAAGACCCACAGGGCGGGGAGAACAGCCTCATGTTCTCTGTCAAGCCCCACTGGGTGAAGGGCATGGCCTCAGGTCCCCAATCAAGTCCCATACAGCAGGGAGCACAGCCTCAGGTCCCCAGTCAAGTCTTACTGGGATAGGGGCATGACCTCAGGTCCCCCATCAAGCCCCGCCAGGCAGGGGGTGTGGCCTCAGGTCCCCCAGTGTCAGGATGAGGGGCACAGCCTCAGGTTCCTCAACCTGGCCTCAGGTCCCCTAGCCCCACCACGAGGGTGCAAGGGCGCATGATGACCATTTGCATATTAACTCTTTATTATATAGAATAGGATAGGCTGGCATCATGTACAGCAGTTACATTGAACTCCTCCTCACCTGGGTACCAAGGAAAGTATGTAAAATTAGAGGTCACTGTTTGGAAATAACTTTGTGTTTTGTAACTCTCCACACCTCCATGTGTCTTAAATTTAGGACCACATAGCATGTAGTAAAAGTGAATTATTGCCTTGACAAGAATTTGGCTACAAGGCCAAATTCATCATAAATGAGGTCATTTTGAGGTAATTGCACAATAGGGTTTTCTCCATCTGTTGGAAGTAGAAGAACATTCATTATTCATA